GGATTAGGATTGATAGTGCGTTTTTCCTGGACTGATTTAGGTATTATCGGTGCATTTTGGGTGGCTTAGATAATAGCAAGTGTGTATTTCAAACTGGGTTGAGGGAGCGATTGGTAGAAATTATTATCGGAAAAATTTAGTGGATTAATGAGAATCATTGGGGAGGATAATGGGGTTTAATGACCAATTTAGGAGCTCGTTGGTGAAATTGCCGGGTATACCCGGTTGACGATTGTACGTCAATTGTGCTTAATTGTGGTTGATTTCGTGCATCGCTATGTCGTATGTTGTGTGGCTGATTTTGTGGAGTGCGATTGGCCATTGTTTGGTTACAATGAATTGCTGCTTTCTGAATCGCACGTTAGGCCACACGGTATCAATTGGGCCAATTAAGCACGTGTTGTGACATTGGGTGTCCGAATTATGTTGGTGCTCGTGGTGCATTGCATTGCATAACATGGACACGCATTGCGTATGCCAAGAGTGAGGCATGTGATGAAATTGTGCGAGCATGCGTGTCTGCCATGAGCATGTGATCACCTAAAATACCTTGAAGCGTTATACGCGGGTTCGGATAATAATGAGCGTGTGATCACCTAAGGACCTTCGGGTCGATACCGTCCTCATGCACTTTGAAGCAAGACGATGCCGTACGTCCGGAAGGCGACCATCCTCATGCACTTTGAAGCGGCTCGGTTCGCAAGGAGAACAGTGTTGCGCCTCATGCACTTTGAAGCAGGCTAGAGACACCGGGCCGGATCGGTTCTTGCGCCTCATGCACTTTAAAGCGTGCTAGACGCATCGGGCCGTGAAAAATTGATGACTCGAGTCGTAATAATAATTAATTGGGCAAGTGTGCCAGTGTGGGCCAGTGGGCCAAAGAAATGTGCATGACATGTCAATGACATTTGCATGCATAAACATGCATTGAATAGCATGCGAGTGTGTGAGACTCGGTGTATGAGCATGTGATTGGCGTACGTGTGATAATGTGTGCCACGTATGTCCCGTGATTATTACATATTGAACTGTCTAACTCAAGTAGGTCGTGAGAATTGTATGATTATGGTTGTGTTATGATTTTAAATGTTTGTTTCCGGTCAGGAGATTGCATGCTAGCCTAGCCTAGGTTTAGGGGTTGAACTCACTGAGATTCGTCTCATGGTTGTGTAAACCGAAACATTTTCAGACCCCCAGTAGTAGGATGCCGAGGTCACCACCTCTTTTTGGGAATACCGCATTTTATCCAGCAGTCGTCGAGCATGCACCCCGGTGGGGATGGAGCAGAACGGAGAAGTGGCTGCTTGGGTTATTCCTAGCTGTTGGCGTTTCCTTTTTGGTTGTCGTGAACACTGTAAAAAGAGTTTTAAAATAGTAATATAAGCATATACATATTTTCTGCGTTGATCGTTGTTTATTGGATGGCTATCCTTGGCTCATATTGTTATTGTCTGGGTTTGTTTATTTTATACTTCCGCTTGTGCTTGATCTCTGTATGGGCGTGGGTCGGCGACGCTTCCTAGGACGTCGCAATTTATCGACCGAAGGTGGGATGCTCTCGCTTCGTGGGGTACGGGGCGTGACAGTGTCCGGAAGCAAAGAATTACTATTTTTTTGGATACAAGCAAAGAATTATTTGATTCCTTTTTAAGATGCAAAAAGCCTTTTCTAATACTAACTAGAATTAGAGTTTGTTTAGTTTTTACTATTTGCTTCTTAAAAATCTTACGGCGTGCCCGAATTCACTTTTATTAATGTAAAATGCTTCAAAACCTTTGAAAGTCATCGATATACAGATTCCCATATAATCTTCTCCAAAGTTTTTGAAATTAAAAAAAAAAATTAATGGTTAAGTCAAAAAAAAAATATTGCTCATGCACTTTTAGAAATACCGGCCATCTACGGATATTTCCATTTGCAGGATGGGTGCTGCCTAATTTGCAAGTCACAACTCACTTCAGATGTACATGTCGTTATGCAGACATCAAATATATAACTCAATATTCTTAAAATTGCCTCGTCACCATTTTCATACTAGGCAGTTTTACTTCTCTCTTAGAATTATTGAAATACTGCCTAACATTTTGCACAATCGTTATTATTTTACAATTACTCTATCATAAATAATTAAAATCTAAACATAAGTTGCATGCAATCAGCAACCATGTTTTCTTTTATTCATTTGTCACTCCATAAATTTAATGTCTCATGGATTTTATAATAAAACTACTTTCAAATATTTGTAGCTTATGAAGAAGTCGAGGACTGAATTGGCGAAAGTGTCAATTGGTCGGATGGACTCAATTGACAAAGTGTGAAAAAGTTTAGGATCGAATTAGCAAAAGTAACATAAGTTTATGACTTTTTGAATAATTTCTCAAATTTTAGGTTGATGTACTCGTTGTGGGAGATAAATTCTCAATCCACACAACAAGTGCAATTTATCAATTGTATGCTTTGCATATTAAACTTAACTAAAGGTTACATTGACCACGATAAATAGGTTTGAAATTCATCTCCATCGACATACGTTTTAAAGATGTGCAACGTAATGTAAGATTAGTTCCTTATAAAGTATGGATAAATTTAAGATGTGCAAAAATTTAAGTTCCTTGATTATTTATTGAAGACTAAACTAAGATCGACCAAGGCTTTAATTAGCGAAAGATATAACTCGAAATCTCGTTTTAGAAACACAAAAATAGGATCTAATTTTGCAGTACAATGAAAATGGTGAGATTGACTCAAATGAGATTCCTATAAAAGATTTTTTTGTGGGTTTTTAAGTATCTTCAAACTTTTAATCTAGCTCGGCTTGCTAAGCTGGTATGGAGGCTCTTTCATAACCCGGATGCTGTGTGGGTTAAGCTTCTTAAAGGTCTATATTTTCCATATTGTGACTTTCTTGAGGCTGTGAAAGGTGCTAAGTCCTCTTGGGGATGGAGTAGTATTTTTTAGGGAAGGGAGATTATGAATGCGGGGACGGTATGGCAAATAGCTTCTAGAGATAGTTAAGGTGTGGAAGGATAGATGGGGATAACAAAGGAGGAAATCAAGCTTATATTGGGTAGTAATTTGGTTAATAATGATTGGAGATGCTGGGATGTGAGGCTTAGCCAAGATTATGTTGCAGCTGAAGAGTGTGTGTATGCTCTATTGCCAATGTTTTCAAACGGAAGAATATAGCACATTTCAACACAAGGGTGCTGGCAAAACAAAACTAGGTCGGTGTCTAGGGAAGCAACAGAGTGAGTGCGGAAGAAAATAGGAATCTCCATATCATTGTGATGTTAGTAAGTCATCATCACTTCCCACAATCGTAGAAATTTGTGCCTGACCATGTTTCTAAAAGGCATATACCAGAGCCTCTATGGTCTTTATCTAAGTTACCAAAAGCAACTCATAGAAAGTGTGGCATATCTGTTCTGTAGAACCAGTCATATCAGATGAAACTGTCACATGATGGAAGCTCGAAAGCAACTCAAAGTGAAAAGAAAATTTTACCTGAACACCATATCCAAAAAAGAATGCAGAACATTCACCTGTGACCTAGTTGGGCAAAATCATCTTCAGATTCACCATCCTCATGATACACACTCGCTGGTGCCAAAGCCGGGGGGTTTCTGTCACTTCTGCTTTGGTCAGTGGAGTACCTTTGGTGACAATGTTATCATGTTGACAAATAGCACGCTGCAAACTAGCATTCAATGCCAATCCCAGCCACAGAAGTTCCTCGTCTCTGAAGGTCAGTAGAGTGCGCAACTAGGGGTATAACATCTAACCGCAAAAGGTTGGATGACTTATTTTCTTTATTGAATTTCTAACGCTGTGTAATTCAGATGAAGCACGACACGCTCTCGATAAAAACGACACTGATTGACAAGGTCAACAATTACTTCTTGCTTCAAAGCCTGCCACCATGTCCACAATCATTGATTAAGATTCAGAACGTAACGTCAAAATCCAACTCAATCTGCACTGAAGATTGCAAAGTTTACTAAATAAGCTACATACAACATCATAACCGAAGAGGCATCTTCACAAGTGCAAAAATCAAGTCTGCAAGCGAAAGGAGAAACAGGACACATGCATGGACAGCATAGCCCACCTTATGAGATTATTCACGGACTTGGGTTGTGTTGTTCAGCCAAAGGTTTTAGAGCTAGGAAGACAATTGATATTAGTAGACGTGATAGGATTGTCAGATAAAAACATGAAATAGCAGAATATAAGAAGCCTCTGCCCATGGTCTTCCTCTCATCCCTCTGAATCACAATTACCAGTACTGAAGGATCAGCGATTGCCAGTACTGCCCAGCCTTCTCCCACCGAAGGAAGGATCCCCATCCGCCAAAAAAAATGAGTCAAGGCTTGGACCTTCGAAGGAAATCTCGTGGGACTAAGCTTTTATCAAGGACAGTTGCTGACGCTACTGAAAATGGTGCAGCCACCAGTGCACGAAAGCAGCTAACTCCTAAACTCAACGACCACAACCTGGCCTTGTTCCAATCCGGGCCGGGGCCGAGAGAGAGAGAGAGAGAGCTGGCCTTGTTCCAATCCGGGCCGGGGCCGAGAGAGAGAGAGAGAGAGAGAGAGAGAGAGAGAGAGGGGGCCACGGTGGTGGTGGAGTGCGACGGTGGGTATGGCGGCTATAGAAGCGCCGCGAGGCATCATCGACCATGTCAGGGTAGCGGTGGCTGCTGCACATCTAAAGGAGGAATCGCATTATCGGACGAGACGCCAAAGCTTTGCCAAGACAGAAAGGGAAGCCCAAATCATCACGGACACAATTATTATTATTTAAAAATAAAAATAAATAAGGGATGAGAAATTTGTCAAAAATTAATTAATTAAAAAAAAGGACGAGAGACGGTGATCTTAAATCCAAATTGGGCCCCTGCAGATGCAGATGCAGCAGTTGGAAGATACAAACGAGAGGTGAGGTTACAGAGAGAGACAGAGAGAGAGAGATGCTTATTCACCGCTGCGGTCGTTTTTTGTTTCCCCTTCATCTTCATTTTAACACCCCACGCCGCCACCCCCCACATTACAGGAATCCCAACACCAGAAAATTACATAACTATGGAAAGACAAATGAAGCCACTTTTTTTTTATTATAAAAAAAACAACTATATTAAACTTATCAGCCTCAACTCACTCACTCACTCGGCCCCCCACGAGGTAGGAATCCAATCTTGCCAGCGTAACGGGACTCATCTTTCACTTTACGTGCTGCCTCTCCAAATGTCATTTCTTTTGCGGGGCCCTCCATTTCATCCAACTGCAAAGTGACCCGGGCGGTGGGGTCCCACTCAAACTCGGCCCACGTCCACCAGCGTTTGTCCCCCTCGACCTCAAAGCTTCCCCTCGCGCTGCTCGAGTCCAACGGCAACTTTCTTAGACCAGGGCAGTTTACTATGAAGAAGCGTACCCCCTGGGGAAAGGATAGAGTCTGGTCGCAAATGCTCGTTAGCTTGGGAAGACCGATGAGTCGTAGGGATTCGAGACGTGAGAATAGTCCCGAAGCAGCTAATTCCTCCCTTGCAAATCCATCCCCAATGATTTTCTCCATCGATTCGCAGAATGTGACCGTCAGTTTCCGGAGCTTCGGAGCATGCACGAGCCAGGACAAGTCCAAAAGCCCGCACCTCTTGACCCAAACATCAACGAGATTGGGGAAGCAAAAGTAGTTTGGCGCTTGTCCTATTCTCTGAGTTATCTTCATCTCACTCAGCTCGGTATATTGAAATAGACAAAGCGTCTCTAAATGCGAGAAACCGTTAGTGCTTGCTGGTGAGTAATTTATTACGATGCTAGTCAAGTTACCATTCCTATTATCAATGCACGCTCTCCTTATGCGTCTCCGTAAATTCGGGGATTGGAATATTTTCTGAGCAGAGGAAGACTCGTGCACGCAGATAGATAAGTCGGTGAGATGTTGCATGCACCCTAGTTCCTCTACCATCTCTTCTTCCTTTAGTTCCTCTACTGTCTCTTCTTCCTTCACCCCACCCCATTCCCCCATAAGTTCTTCTAACTTCCATTGGTTGAAATTCCATTGGCTAAACACATTCAGTGGTAAGCTTGTGATTGCCCCTGTCGGAATAAGGACGTTTCCTTTCAACATATCGTCCAGTAGCAACCACCGTAAACGAGTCAAGTTCTTGATTTCTTTGGGTAATTCACTAATACCGGTGACCGACAAGTTCAAGTATCGTAGATTGATCAGATTGCAAATCCCTTCGGGGAATGACTCGATATTTCCATTGCTGGATAGGTTCAGGACCGCTAGACAAGCCGTCATCGAGTCGAAAAATCCTTTTGGCATGAACGTCACTTCTGTTTCCCTTACAAATAAAGTTTCGAGCTGCGAACACTGGGGTGGTTTCTTGTCGATATTTCGAATCCATTTTCCCCATAGAGATACTTTCTTTGATTCCCCCCATTTAAAGACCAGATCCTCGGACATGTCTTCGTCTTTCTCTATCACTAGCAACTTGTTCTCCCTTTTCCCGTGGTCATGAGCGATCCAGGTTGCCATGTCGCGGATGACATCGTGCATCTTTACCCATGACTCTTCATCTTCATCACGCACACTTTCCAATAGACAAGCCATCTCTAAACTCCCCAAGACATACTTTCCCTTATCCCGCATACTGTATAAATCATTGATGTCTCCTAGCAAGCCTTCTCCAATCCAGAGTTCAATAAGCTCATCTGTTATTATGGGGTAATCCTCAGGGAAGAGACAACAATAAAGGAAGCAAAGCTGAGCAGTAGAGTCATTTAAGCTATTATAACTAAACTCTAGTATGTGGTACACTTCATCCACCATATCTGACAGCTTGTACGGATTGTTCCTGAGCGTTGTTAGCGCATGCTTCCACTCATGGGGATCCTTTCTGCCGGCCATGGCTTGTCCAACAGTAATAAGGGCTAGTGGCAACCCTTTGCACTCTCGGACAATGTCCTTAGCGAGCTCTGGAATATTTGGATGAGAATGTACATTCGGTTTGCCGACGTTGTTCTCAAATAATTCCAGGGCTTCTTCGGGCATCAAGCACTGTACTTTGAAGGTTTTTTCCGCTGCCATTTGGTCGCATACTTGCTCTGACCGAGTTGTGAATACAACTTTGGATCCATTTTCGGGACTAGGACGAGGAACTCCAATTTTTGGAAGGTCCAGCCTCCCCCATAGATCATCAATCAACAATACAAACTTCTTCTTATTCAAATCTTTCCGCAGATGATGGACCCTTTCATCCCAGGACCATCCTTTCCAGAGCTCATCTTCAATGTCTAGCCTTTTCCTTATGGCATCTTGAATTCTATCTTTGTTCACTTGCCTAGACACCACCACCCAAATAACAACATCGAATCCATGATTTGCGCGGGAAAGCTCCTCGTTGATCCTTTTCATGAGGGTGGTCTTTCCCACACCACCTATTCCATATAACCCTATCATTCCTACTTGTTTTTTGTCCACAAGCCATTCCCATACTTTCTTAAAGGAACTATCAAGCCCCACCGTCTTGTCCATAGGCATCCCGAGCACTCGAGGAGGAGGCAATGGCGATGTCACAGTGTCGAATTCTCCTTCCTTGGGTGGGAGCTCTCTTGCTTCATTGAGCATTTGATTAACTCTTTTCCCCAATTTATAACCGGACCAACAGTTTGGTGGAAGACAACGACTGAGACATTTGATTTGGTCACGTTCCCCGGCATCCCGAAGAACTTGATCTACGCGACTGACAAACTCTTGCACCTTGCCTAACCAGGTCGCCACTTGTTTCGTGCGCAGAGCACGCTCTTCTTTTTCTTCACGTTCCACCCTTTTTTTCACATCGTAGCTCACGGCCTTCAGGTCTTCAGTTGCGTTCTTCAAAGAGTCGACATTATCTTTAAGAAAATAAATGTAGCCCAAAGGTTTCTTGGCCAAGCCCCACAACTCTTTGACGAGTTGTAAAAGAGGACTTGCGAAATCCATAGATTCTTTCCAAGATAAGAGATCGATCGAGTATTTAGATAGTAGGAAAGCGAGCGGATGGGTGGTGTTCAATAAGCTCTGCTATATTTATCTTGATTGTTCTGGCCAGCAGACGAAGGAAAGAATATCGCAACCTTTTCTTTACTTCAAGAAGAGAAATGGAACGCATAATTCTTCTTCTTTCTTCGTTGGGGTCGAGCCGCAAAGAATCCTTCTGTTCAGAAATGAAATCCACAATCGTTTGAGCCAAGAAAAAGGGAAGGTATCATGACAAATCTCATTTAGAAGCACCCTAAGGAGCCTTGCGGTTTAGGGTCCGTTTGAGACAAAGAATACATGATTGCTTAATATGGACCAAGGCAAAGAACACTAGTGACCTATGTTTCTTCCATATAAGGCAATGCTCAAATTCTTCTTCCTGCTTTTGTCTATGGACTGCGTGAAATGTGATCAATCGTGTCCAGAAGCAAAGAATTACTATTTTTTGGATAGAAGCAAAGAATTATTTGATTTCTTTTTCAAGATGCAGAATAATGTAACTGATGAGTCAGCCTTTTAGAAGCTCTCCAATGGAAATTTCACAAATATAATTAGCTGTCTATTTAGTTTTCATAATAGGACAATTTGGGTAACTATGGAAGTGATCCGCAAGAAGACTTCCCTAATACTTACTACAATTAGAGTTTGTTTAGTTTTTATATTTTGCTTTTTAATGATCTTCACTTTTATCAATGTAAAATGCTTGAAACCTTTGAAAGTCGTCTTACATTGATATATAGATTCGCATATAGTCCTTTCCAAAGTTTTTGAAATTTAAGAAAAAAAAATTTAATGAGAAATATATATGCTTTTGCCTTTTTAGAAGTCCACCAGCCATCTACGAATATTTCACTTGCAGGATTGGTGCTGCCCAATTTGCAAGCCACAACTCACTTCAAATGTACATGTCATTCTGCAAACATCAATTATATAACTCAATATTCCTAAAATTGCCCAATCACCCTTTTCGTACTTGTCACCTTTACTTTTATCTTAGAATTATTGAAAAAATGTCTACATTTTTCACAATCGCTGTTATTTTAGAATTACCTTATAAAAAATAATTAAAATTTAAACTTAAGTTGCATGCAATCAACTACTATGTTTTCTTTTATTCGTTTGTTAAACCATAAATTTAATGTCACAAGGATTTTATAATAAAAACATTTTTAAATATATATAGCTTATGGAGAATATAATTAATAAATTAACGTCACACAAATCCATTTAAATTACAGCTAAAATAAATTAAAATATGCATACCACACTAGCGATCTAAGGTCGCCACCTAAAATTGAAGTTCCCCAACCTCAGGCAACCTACAATTTAAAGCGAACGGCCAGTTGGTTCTTGTCACAACCACCATGAGACTCTCTATTGTTTATCCAGAGAAACAGAGACAGAGGGGGGGGGGGGGGGTAAATGGAGAGCAACGAAAGATGCCACTGGGAGGGGTATTGCAGCGACAATCGTATTGGAGAGCTAGCGACAAGGAGATGGGTGGCGGAGATAAGAGGCAAGTAAGGGAGGGAACAAGAGCTAAAAGAGTTCGATATCTGGGGATTTGTGTGTAAAATCCTCATAAAGCACGAGGCATTCCAATCAATTTAGAGTAACTGGATATGGTCCACTTACTCTCTAACTGTAGAGAGTTTAAACCGCGAATGCTGATATCGACAATTCACACACACACACACTAGAAAAGGAGAGAGAGGATGCGGCACGCAAAACATGCTCTATTGTCACCAGACCCAGAGGGGTTTGGTGTACAGGGTGGGTGGGGTCAGGGTCGGAGATGCGGTTGGGATTCAGGTATAAGATCTCCGGTGATCGTTAAACATTAGCAATAAGAAAAAAATAAAACTTGCACCGAGTTATTATGCAGGCTCTTAAGCAATTCTGGATAATTAAGAACAAATCACTGCTCATATATGGAGTCATCGGACTATAAGTTTCTGCATATAACCTAATTATGAAAACTATTAAATCGCACATTCTTGGTAAATCAATATAGTTGCTGTAGTAATTCATTCCCATAATAGACGGCTACTTTCAAGAAGCTTTCTAGTAGTAGTTTGATGTTATAGATTAAGTTCAAATGTGCTCTATATGTAGGATAGTCTTGATTTGTAATATGATTAGTGAGCTTTCTCCAAATAAATAACAGAACTAGCCAGTGATAACTCGGTAAAATTGTTAGATGTATTAGATGATTTACCGACATCTGTTTATATAGTCAAATACCGTTATTTACCACAAGAAATGAAACAATAATAACCCGCTAAAAGTTATTATCGGCTAGTTGAAAGATATATAATTACTAAAACATTAGTGAGTTACTAAATTTGATTAGAAATCCACTTAACTCGAGTTTTACACGTTGATAAATTACTTTAAAAAGTACGAGAAAATTCACTAACCTGATTGAAGGGCGGGTGACGAGGGTCCGAGCTTAGTACTTGACCTGAAAGTCCTTGCTTGATGCCCCTTGTGCTTTAATAAATATAATAATCTGTTAATAAAATAATCGGTCTTAAATGGCATGAGCGAGAAAAGCCCAAGATGGAAGTCGATTGCTTAGGTCAACCGAATTTGTGTCTTAGACATTTACTAAGATCAATTTTAATAGCCAAATCCTTAATGAGAACTTACTACTAGAGTGCCAAAGCTAATTAACTCAAAATAACACAATAGTTATCAATATACTCAATAGCTTATATTGGTTAGTAATTTGGTTGATAATGATTTGAGATGCTGGGATGTGAGACCTAGCCAAGATTATGTTGTAGCTGAAGATAAGGATACCATTCAACAAATCAAGCATAGTGACATCGGCGATGAATAAAAGTATGTGTGGCCTTTTGATAGAAGAGGACAGTTGACAGCTATATCCATTTATGTTTTTGTATAGACTCTAATTTTAAGGAAGGAAGGTCCATCTATCTCAAAGGTGGTGGAGAGCTGTGTGTGGAAATGGATTTGGCCTGTTTATTGTCGCTCAAAGATGATAATGCACTTAGGGAAAATACACTCTTAATGCCTTAGCATCCTATAGCAACCTTTTCAAGAGGAGGATCAGAAATGATGCTGTGTTGTGTGGAGTGGAGGAGACTATGGAACATATTACTCTGTTAAGCCGATGGTGTGAGTGCATCTAGTTTGCTATATTGAATCTAAAAATTAGGAGTAAGTATCGAGTATTGATCTACGGTTTGATAGAACAGGTCAGAATATGGAGGAGAGGAAGCAGATATATCCAACATCATTGAGTTTGTATGTCGGTATCTGTGGAAGGAAAGATGTAATAGTGTGCATAATCATACTATTCCAGATCCTGTTAAGGTGCTTAAGCAGCTGCAGCAAGCTTTAACTGAGTATGTTCACTTGAAGAAGCATATGCAATAGGACAATCCTGATCAGAGGAAGAGTGAGAAGGAAGATACTAGAGATATTGATTGGAAGAAACCTCGACAAGGTGTCATCAAAATTAATGATATTAGTATTTTTTTAGAAAACCATAACAAGGTGGCTGTGGGAGTTATTGGTCGAGATTATTCAGGTGCTATAGTGGGTGGTACAGGGTAACCAGTAGCTGCTTCTTATACATAAGAAGTTTGGCATTGAAGGAAGGAGTTCTTTTAGCCAAAGAAAAGCATAGGGGACAGATCATCCCTGACACCAATTCAGAAGTTGTCTTTAAAGATGTTACGATGCCAAACTAGTTCATGAGATCGCATTATGAACCTGTGGTGCAGGATATAAGGGAAAGTTTCGTAGCGACTGGTAGTGTCACCCCCATTCCATTTACTGAATACATCTAAATACTTTGGCCCAAAAAAAAAAAAATAGGCCTACTTTTTTGGCCGGAAAGAGATGTCTACTTTGGTACGCTGTATTATTCTCTCGTTTGGTGTTAGCTCAATTTTTTTAAAGCTTGAGATCTAGAGTCGAAATTTCATATTTTTGAACTTAACTAATGAAAAGTGTATCAAAACCTTTTGATAAAAGATGCATCCAAACACAAGTTTGAATGTTAGATTATCTCCATTAAGATGCTTACAGAGAGTTTTGGTGCACTTATCCTTTAATTTTTGTTTAAAAATTTTATTTTTGTTATGATTGATCACCAATTCAACAAAAACCATTTTGGTTTTATAATATTTTAAGAGTCAAAGTTTCATGTTTTTGATTGTCGTCATCATATTGTCCGAACTTATCAAGTCCCAAGACATGATTTATAAAAAGCCAGTCACATGAAAAAGAATTTAGATGCCTCACCACCGCAGCAGCTCTCGGATGAACCAATCCCTCCAAGTCAAGATGAGGGGCTTGATTTCTGCGGCGATGAAGAGGACCTTGCTCTTGCAAGATCGACCAGATCTTTGAAGAGCATATCCTCTTGTTTCGCTTGCTTGTTCCGTAGCAGGTGAATCAAGAGAGAGCTTCTGCTTCTGGCCCCCTAAACTGTCGTGCGAGGAACCGGTCTCAACACAGGAACTAGAGGGATTGCCCGAAAGCTCCACCCGTTGCTCTGTAACTTGTCCTCTCTAGTTATATGGAATTGAACTAGAAAATAATGCGTCCACAGAAAAGAATAAGAGATCGAAAAAATAGGAGTATGTAGATGGTAGGAAAGCAGGTGGACGGGTGCTGTTCGATAAGCTATGCTATATTTATCTCGATTGTTCTGGCTAGCAGGCGAAGGAAAGAATATCAGAATCTTTCCTTTACTTCGAGAAGAGAAAGGGAACTATAATTCTTCTCCTTTCTTCATCCGGGTCGAGCCGCAAAGAATCTTTCTGTCCAGAAAAGAAATCCACAATCGTTTGAGCCAAGAAAACAGGGAAGGTATCATGACTAGACTCATTTATAAGCACCCCGAGGAGTATGAACTAAGGCAAAGAATATCAGTGACCGATGTTTCTTCAATATGAGGCAATGCTCGCGTTCTTCTTCCTGCTTTTGTCTTTGGACTGCGTGGAATGTGATCAATGGTGTCCAGAAGCAAAGAATCACTATTTTTTTGGATACAAGCAAAATAATTATTCGATTAATGGGATTGAGGGTCAGCCTTTTAGAAGCTCTCCGATGGAAATTTCACAAACTTAATTAGCTGTTTATTTGGTTTCCATAGTTCGACAATTTGGGTAACTATCGAAGCAATCCACAAAAAGCCTTCTCCAATACTTATTACAATCAGAGTTTATTTAGTGTTTGCCTTTTGCTTTTTTTAAAATCTTACGGCGTACCCGAATTCACTTTTATTAATGTAAAAAAAATACTTGAAACCTTCGAAAGTGATCTTACGTTGATATATAGATTTGCGTACAATTTTCTCCAAAGTTTTTGAAATTTAAATAATATTTTAAATATTAACAGGAAAAGCAAAAAAATATTACTTTTGCCTTTTCGGGAGTCCATCGGCCATCTACGGATATTTCGATTTGCAAGGTTGGTGCTATCCAATTTGCGAGTCCCAACTCACTTCAAATGCTTATGTCATTCGGCAAACGTAGTAAAGCATATGACTCAATATTCTTAAAATTGCCCCATCACCCTTTTCGTACTAGCCACTTTTAATTCTCTCTTAGAATTATTGAAACAATGTCAAACATTTTGCACAATCGTTATTATTATACAATTACTCTATCATAAATAATTAAAATATAAGTATAAGTTGCATGCAAATTTTATAATAGAAATATTTTTAAACATATATAGCTTATAAAGTAACGTCACATAAACCCACTTAATTTACAACCAAATTAAATTAAAATCTGAATGTTAAGAAGATAACGTTGCAATTTGAAGCGTGAAATTATTTCCTCATTATATTTAAATTGTAAATTGACAAGAACCAAAATATTTGGATAAATTATTTCTTTATTAAGTTTAAATTTACAAATAGAAAGAACAAAAGAAAATTTAAAGTAAACTAATATAAATTCATTTTATTGCTAGTTCAAGAAGAATCTTTGAAAATTAAACAAGTAATAACATATCCTATTGATAAAATAAAGTTGTTATAATCTTTGGTATGATGATATTTTTATACAGGAGAAAAGTTAATAATGAATATTTATCGAGAAAGAAAGTACACGTCAACGAAGACAACAATAAGCCTTTATTGATAAAATTTTCATTATTAACATTAAAAAATGTACGTTATCGACAATAAGCCGTTTATTCGTTCATTGTTCTACAGCTTTGCTTACCAAGGTTTATTTGCCGACCAAGTCTCATTTAATTTAAATTTATCGACTCTTAATTAAATTATGTTATCTTCTTAATAAATGAAACGATACAAACCTATAAAAAAAAGTTGTTACCGAATAGTCGAAAAACATAATTACTAAAACATTAGGGGGATACTAAATTTCATTAAAAATTAACTTAGCTTGAGTTTTACACGTAAATAGCATCATTTATAAAAGTACAAGAAAACTCACTAACCTGAATAAAGGGTGGGTGACGAGCTTGATGCACCTCATGAATTAATAAATATAATAATCACTTCAATAAAATAATCGGTCTTAAATGGCATGAGCAAGCCAAGTCCAAGAAGGAAATCGTTAGCTGAGGTCAACCGAATTTGTGTTTCGGGCTTATTGGGCAGGGACGAAAAGTTTTAGTTCTTGAGGAGGCTTCTACAGTTTAGGTACACAAAAAGATCTTCAGAAATTCTGCTGTAATCGTTCTGCACGTAAACATAATGGTAAGACATATTCTTTGTGCAGTTCACTCTCAAGGTAATTGGCCACATGATGATCAGGAGCTTAGAACCGAAAGGCGAAGAGCAGGAGAAATTCTGATCCGATTTCAAAATAATTTCCTCCGCATTCGCTTCCTTGCCATTTAAATTGCCAGGAACCGCATTTCATCGTGGAATTCAGGTAATTCTTTTTTTTTTTTTCATATCCTCGGAATATACTCGTGATGGAACGGAAGACTTCGTCGAGTTACTTTCCTAATGTAACGTTTCGACGAAATCAGGCTCGGGATAGGATGTATATAGCATGTTGGACAGCGTTATTTCTAGGAGGAGAGAAGGACAAGGCTTCCAAAACGATTTCCTGGAGTCCCTGATAATCAAGCACAGCAAGGCGGTGGACGGAGAAGCTGACAAAGAGAAGCTAACGGGCAAGCAAATGAAGGACAATGTACTAACTCTTCTAGTTGCTGGTCATGACACCACCACTGCTGCTCTGACTTGGCTCATGAAATTCCTCGGAGAGAACCCTCGAGATCTGCAACGGCTCAGGGTACTCCCATTTTGCCGATGAGCTCTGTTAAATTGAAACCGTCACCTAAGAATACTGAAGAACGGGTTGCGTGCTTCGTATGCAGGAAGAGCATATGGAAATTCAAGCGAGTGGCAAGGGTGGAGCGAATCTATCTTGGAGCGAAGTTAATAACATGCCTTATACCGCTAAAGTAAGCAAGACATTAACTCTATCACCCTAATTACCCTACTGAAAACGGGAAGATGTAGAAATTTTTTTTGTCTTTGGTATTTCAGGTAATAAGTGAAACTCTAAGGAGAGCCACGATATTACCTTGGTTCTCGAGGAAAGCTGCTCAGGATTTTGAGATTGATGGTATGCATCCCGATAAAAAGACCAAACACGCTAATCAGAAAAATGCAATCTCAAGATGCTTACTAATACTAACTCCTGGTCTTTTACAGGATATAAGATCAAGAAAGGTTGGTTGGTGAACCTGGATGTTGTTTCTATTCACCATGACCCGGAAGTTTTCCCTCAGCCCGAAGTTTTTGACCCTTCCAGATTTGATGTAACCATCTTTCTGTCGCTTCGTCGTATAGTATATAGCCCACGTTTTATTTCTTATTTCCAGCTGAAATTTTTCTATTGATCTCAGGAACCTTTGAAGCCTTTCAGCTTCCTTGGATTCGGTAGTGGACCACGTATGTGCCCGGGGATCAATCTGGCGAAGCTGGAGATCTCTATTTTCATTCATCACTTATCGTGCAGATAGAAGTTAGAACATAAAATGCTCATTTTGATAAACAACGTCTCATCTTCCTGCTAGAACATTTTGATTGCCATCTAGCATGTCAACCAGCCAAGGGGACAACCTTTTATAAGCTATAGTCTTTTTAAAAAAATGAAGCAATAAAGAAGAAGAAAAAGAAAAAGAAATGACAAAATTGATATGTTCGTGTCTGAGACTATGCTTGATGAATTTCTCAGGCGTTTATTGTGAGTGTAGAACTTGATTAGACAATCTTACTCTTCTTGACAGGTGGACTCCTCTGGAGAGAGATGACTCAGTCCAGCCTACTCTAGTAAAGATGCCCAAGAACAAGTATCCAGTTCTCGTTGAGCCACTGTAGATGTATTTGTTGCTTCACTTGGCAATTTGGCACAGAGCCATAATAGCCAAGGAAAGAAGTGGCACGGGGGATTCGACTTTATTGTTATGACCCGATCGTCAATGCAATACCAATATGCTAGAATGACAAACTCACTGGGTAATGGTAGCCATAAGCGAACGCTTGCCCGGGAGCACATTGTATGACTGAGAAAATGAGAAATAAGAATGTCCGAAGCAGTTTACGTTCTTCTTGAGTTGGTCTATTTCTTGCTGAATAACTACCTTTTGCTACAATCCTATTACTCTGGCCTGTTAATCAACAAATGCAACTTCAAGCAGCTTAATTGCAGAGAGTGGACAGATAAGTAAAGATTGGAGATATGTCTTTTGTTTATGAAAGTTAATCCATTGATGCACGGACATAAGCAAATAGGAAAGCCCGGCCAATACACCATGGAGAATAAAGGTGCTAAAGATATTCGAAATCAGCATACTGAAGTTTGAATTCAGTATTGCCTTGAATCAGACAGAAATGTAGAACTCCAGAAGATAAGTTCCAGAAACCCAATACAAATGTCATGTCAGCTCCAGCTCTAGCCCCCTTAAATTGGTTGGTGGTGCATAACACATTGCATACCTTAGGTAGAATGAATAAGTAAATACTATTGGCCTTAATAACAACAGTTCGGATGCCAGATCCCTTCAAACAATGACAATGCACCCAAGCAATGAAAAAGGAACCAGATTTGGACTGCAACTTCCTGAGAATACAAGCAGTCTTCCAAATCTCACGGGTAAAGGTGAGCCTCACAAGGATCTTTAGAGCGAGATGAGAAGATCCGGATTTTCTATTACTTATGAGATGATACCAATGAGAGGAGGGACTCCTATATATACAAATACTCTCTTATTCATAACCGTAGATCTCCCTACAATCTGAACGTGGAGGTTCAATTTCCCCATCTATCAACTACCCGCATTAATTACAAGAATTCTCCAAAATGGTGTATATTTCCCATACTGCTCATCCCTAGTGATAATATTCTAGAGAATTCGAGAAACTCTAAGAGGCTCGCCCGGTCTTTCCAATCATCACACCCCTTTGTACCTTTTCTTTTTTTGGTCGGAAGTCCTTTGTACCTTGAAAACCTATGGACCGTGACACATAGAACCGTCACTCATAGAAGTAAGTTTTTAAGGCCAAGCGCTCCCTCAAACTTGGGAAGACACTTCAGACCAAGCCACTCTAGCTCCCCTGGCATTAGTTGATATGACTTTTCGCAAAGATGCGAGAGAATCTCATCACAATGTACCTTGATCACTTTCGTAGGCAAAGAAACATCTTACTCCAAGTCTTCACCATACCATAAACCACCGTTTCACCTTTTGCTATTTCCCTGCAGAACTCAAATGCTTGACAGTCCAGGCTTCCATTGTGATTGGTGAATGAAAATAAAACTAGTAGACTAAGAAGGATGACATCGTTATATGTCATGTATCAAGCCATCGTCGAGCGATTAAATTTGCGGCCAGTGCAAATGGCAGGAGAAGAATAATGACAGATCACTAGATTATAATTTCTTCCTTGAATTTCGACAAACAGGGAATGGAAGCAATCCAAGACTTAATTAAACTTCTTCTCGGTGTACGCTAAGCATGCTAAACGGAATAATCTCTTCACTGTTTAGGAGCAAAAAACAGCTAGGTATGAAATATATTATCACGGATAGTATTTGTCACCGAGAACCTTCACTTTGAGTCGTATAGACAGTGAAAGGACAACGGCCTTTCTCCTAGAGAAAGCAAGCGGATAATTTGTAGGTGAGCCCAAAATAGAAGAAAAAATGGGGATAAGATGGAGTAGATGGCATGGAACAGGTCCTGTTAGAATTAGGAACTGAGGACAGTGTCGATCCCAATGTCGCGGGAAATTCTTTGTATTTTTATACACCGCCACTGAGATAATCAATGAGCTTGAATCTCCAGCAACTGGTCTCTTTGATGAGGGTGGAGATGGGAGAAGTGGGCTGATTCGTGATAGTTCAGTCTGAGCATTCGTTGCTTACCCATTGTCTCCATTATCTGTTGACCACCTGCAACAATGTGAATACTACATGATGAGACGTGGAAATTTGAATCGAGGAATAAACTTCAACTACTGCAGGTCTGATGTTTCCCTTATTCAAACAGAATGTAGGGTGTCGTTCAGCATAGAATCCTCCATAAGATTACAGAAGTCAACATCAGAGATCTCAAAACTGACATTCAAGAAAATTACTTTTCTCTGTCACAAAGAGACTTTCTTCTATGAGTATGAGCGTGTGCATGCTCTATTGCCAATGTTTTCAAACGGAAGAATATAGCACATATCAACACAAGGGTGCTAGCAAAACAAAACCAGGTCGGTGTCTAGGGAAGCAACAGAGTAAGTGCGGAAGAAAATAGGAATCTCCATATCATTGTGATGTTAGTAAGTCATCATCACTTCCCACAATCGTAGAAATTTGTGCCTGACCATGTTTCTAAAAGGCATATACCAGAGCCTTTATGGTCTCTATCTAAGTTACCAAAAGCAACTCAAAGAAAGTGGCATATCTGTTCTGTAGAACCAGTCGTATCAGAGGAAACTGTCACATGATGGAAGCTCGAGAGCAACTGAAAGTGAAAATAAAATTTTACCTGAACACCATACCCAAAAAAGAATGCAAAACATTCACCTGTGAGCTAGCTGGGAAAAATCATCTTGATTCACCATCCTCATGATTCACTCGCGGTGCCAAAGTGAGGGTTCACTGTCATCGCTTTGGTCAATGGAGTACCTTTGGTGACAATGTTATCATGTTGACAAAGAGCACGCTGCAAACTAGCATTCAATGCCAATCCCAGCCACAGAAGTTCCGCGTCTCTGAAGGTCAGTAGAGCGCGCAACTAGGGGTATAACATCTAACCGCAAAAGGTTGCATGATTTATTTTCTTTATTGAAGTTCTAACGCTGTGTAATTCAGATGAAGCACGACACGCTCTCGATAAGAACGACACTGATCGACAAGGTCAACAATTACTTCTTGCTTCAAAGCCTGCCACCATGTCCACAATCATTGATTAAGATTCAAAACGTAACGTCAAAATCCAACTCAATCTGCACTGAAGATTGCAAAAGTTTACTCAATAAGCTACATACAACATCATAACCGAAAAGGTATCTTCCCAAGTGCAAAAATCAAGTCTGCAAGCGAAAGGAGAAACGGGACACATGCATGGACAGCATAGCCCACCTTATGAGCTTATTCATGGGGCACAGAGTGCAGGAGGTAATCGTCTTATTTCGCTAATTCGAAATATGGGAAAGCCTTCCCACCCAAAAGAGGTGCAAAAGTAGCAAAGCCATTTTCGGCAAAAGTAAGATAAAACTCAGTATCTAAGAGGGGACAAGACTCGACGTGCACAAATACCGAGTGCAAACATCCCTCGCATCTCTCGGACAGTATTAACTCGATACTCCAAATCTCTAGCAATAACAATTTTTTTTTGTTCAGGCAGTAAGAATTGGTGATCACCCAGGATGGTGCATACTGGAATTCTGCAACTTCTTCCAATTAGAACAGCAACGGATTAAGGAACGGTCGAATCTTACGACCAGATCCTAAAAGAAAAGCAATGAAATAAAGCTAGAGCAATTTTCGGACTTGGGTTATGTTGTTCAGCCAAAGGTTGCAGAGCTAGGAAGACAATTGATATTAAGTAGACCTGATAGGATTGTCAGAAAAAAAACACGAAATAGCAGAATGTAAGAAGCCTCTGTCCCGGTAGTCTTCAGCTCAGCCCTCTGAATCACAAGTTCCCATTACTGAAGGATCAGCAACTGCCAGTACTGCCCAGCCTTCTACCACCGAAGGAAGGATCCCCATCCGCCAAAAAAAAGCTGAGTCAAGGCTTGGACCTTCGAAGGAAATCTCAAGGGACTAAGCTTTTATCAAGGACAGTTGCAGACACTACTGAATCTGGTGCAGCCACCAGTGCACGAAAGCAGCTAACTCCTAAACCCAACTGCAGCAGCAGATAACTCCACCACAACCTGGCCTTGTTCGCATCGGGGCTGGGGGGCGAGAGAGAGAGAGAGAGAGAGAGAGAGAGAGAGAGAGAGAGAGGGATGGAGGGGGGCGACGGGGGCCACGGTGGTGGAATCTAATCTTGGACATGTACGGGAGCTCATCTTTTGCTATCTCTCCAAATGTCATTTCTTCTGCGGGGCCCTCCCCTGCACGCAACTGGAAAGTGACCTGGGCGGTGGGGTTCCACTCAAACTCGGTCCACCATTTTTTTCTTGCTAGGACCTCGAAGCTTCCCCTCGCGCTGCTTGAGTCCAACGGCAACTTTCTAAGACCATCGCACACCATTATGAAGAAGCGTACCCTCTCGGGAAAGGATAGAGCCTGATCGCAAATGCTCGTTAGCTTGGGAAGACCGATGAGTCGTAGGGATTCGAGACGTGAGAACAGTCCCAAAGCGGCTAATTCCTCCCTTGCAAATCCATCCCTAATGATTTGCTCCATCGAATAGCAGTCTATGACCGTCAGTTCCCGGAGCTTCGGAGCATGCACGAGCCAGGACAAGTCCGAAAGCCCGCAATGCTTGACCAAAACTTCAACGAGATTCGGGAAGCAAGAGCAGTTGGGCACTCGTCTTATTCCTTGAGTTATCTTCATCTCCCTTAGCTCGGTACATCCAAATAAATAAAGCGTCTCTAAATGCGAGAAACCGTCATTACCTGCTGGTGAGTAAGTTATTACGATACTGGTCAAGTTACCATTCACATTATCAATGCGCGCTCTCCTTATGCGTCTCCGTAAATTTGGGGATTGGAATATTTTCTGAGCAGAGGAAGACTCGCACACGCAGATAGATAAGTCGGTGAGATATTGCATGCACTCTAGTTCCTCTATCGTCTCTTCTTCCTTCACTAAACAACATTCCGCAAGAGGTTCTTCAGACTCCCACAGGCTGAACACATTCAACGGTAAGCTTGTGATTGCCCCTGTTGGAATAAGGATGTTTCTTTCAACATATTGTCCGGTAGCAACCACCGTGAACGAGTCAAGTTCTTGATTTCTTTGGGTAATTCACTAATACCGGTGGCCGACAAGTTCAAGTATCGTAGATTAATCAGATTGCAAATCCCTTCTGGCAATGACTCAATATGTTCGTTGTGGGACAAGTTCAGGACCGCCAGACAAGTCGTCATCGAGTCGAAAAATCCTTTTGGCATGAACATCACTTTTGTTTCCCTTACAAATAAAGTTTCAAGCTGTGAACACTGGGTTGGTGTCTTGTCAATATTTCGAATCCATTTTCCCTATAGAGATACTTTCTTTGCTTGCCCCCATTTGGAGATCATCTCCTCGGACATGTCTTCGTCTTTCTCTATCACTAGCAACTTGTTCTCCCTTTTCCCGTGGTCATGAGTGATCCAGGTTGCCATGTCGCGGATGACATCGTGCATCTTTACTCTCGGCCCTCCATATTCATCGTTCACACTTTCCAATAGACAAGCCATCTCTAAACTCCCCAAGACATACTTTCCCTTATCCCGCATACTGTATACATCATCAATGTCTCCTAGCAAGCCTTCTCCAATCCAGAGTTCAATAAGCTCATCCGTTATTATGGGGTAATCCTCAGGGAAGAGACAACAATAAAGGAAGCAAAGCTTAACGGTAGAGTCATTTAAGCTATTATAACTAAACTCTAGTATGTGGCACACTTCATCCACCATATCTGACAGCTTGTACGGATTGTTCCTAAGCGTTGTTAGCGCATGCTTCCACTCATGGGGATTCTTTCTGCTGGCCATGGCTTGTCCGACGGTAATAAGGGCTAGTGGCAACCCTTTGCACTCTCGGACAATGTTCTTAGCGAGCTCTGGAATATTTGGATGAGAATGTACATTCGGTTTGCCGACGTTGTTCTCAAAT